TCAACTTGTTCTTTTCTTCAAAATCATAGAGAACAGGGCCCTGATATTTAGAGGAAGTTTAGATATAGGAAGATGATCTAAGTTTTGGTTCCAGATATAGCTAGAAAACCCTGGAGAAGAATTGCCTGACTTGATAGACCAGGCTACTTCAGATGTTTAGGTCTATAATCCATCAGGCATAACCATTGACTAGGCTGTGAAGCTGACAAAGTTCAACTTCCTTCCATGAAGTTGACAAAGAAGGATGCATCTTATGGAAAACTGCTATAAACAATATGCAATTAGGAAATCCTTGTTTGGTTAGTCAGGAAGCAGTTTTCTCCAGGGATCTGGCTTTGCTTCACACATAGGACTATGAACAACCATGATCTGGTCTAGTCAGTGGACTTGGACTTGTGGCATCATTCTAAGCTTATGTGTGTTTGCAGTGGATCAAAAGACAAGGCTGCTGTAACAGGAAGTTGCAAATAATATTTGAGGTTCGTGAGTTCATATGTTTTTGTGCAACAATTCAGGGTGCTTTCCATTAGCATGTTCATCAATTTCTATTTGTTCTTACCACCTACACAATATTCAACACCTGGATTTCCCACTATTAAGACTGAGAAGTTTGGCATTATGGGTTATATGTTGAGAACTCAGCATCTTGATATATAAAAGGGTGTTATACAGACTACAGCAATACACTCTTTGCCATGGCCACAGAAAGTAGGCCAGAAATAATAGGCAGAAGTTGCAGCTACTGGGGTTTTGTTTAAATACAAGGACAAACTTCCTAATTGTCTATACAACAGTGGAACAATCTGTCTTCATAGAGTGTAGATTTTTCATCTCTAGAGATCAAGAGAGCCATCTTTTAAGGATGGCTCAATTGCTGTTCCTCTACATTGCCAGAAAATTGGCCTAGATAATCTTCATGGTCCTTTCTCACACCACAGTTGATTTTCTAAGCCCACCTCAATGGCCAAAAAATCCAATATCTTCGGTTAAGGAGCAAGATTTAGAAGGCATAAATTCAGCTTGCTGGGAAGGAGCTAGTTGCCTGAAATCATGGATCAATCATGAGCAGAAAGTCTGTATCAGAAAACATTAAAAGTTACAAGATGACTAAGAATCAGAAACTGGATCTAGAAGCTATAAGTTAAGAATCAGAAATGTACACTTATCAGGAATCATAACTCTTGTATTACTATAAACCCAGACTTGAATACAGGATTTAGAACTCAGAATCAAGGGCCGTATGCCAGTGGTGGGATTCATTTTTTTTTACTACTGGTTCTGTAGGTGTGGCTTGGTGGGCGTGGCATGGCTTGGTGGGCATGGCTTGGTGGGCGTGGCAGGGGAAGGATACTGTAAAATCTCCATTCCCTTCCCACTTCAGGGGAAGGATACTGCAAAATCCCCATTCCCACCCCACTCCAGGGGAAAGTTACTGCAAAATCCCCATTTCCTCCCAATCAGCTGGGACTCGGGAGGCAGAGAATAGATGGGGGCGGGGCCAGCCAGAGGTGGTATTTGCCAGTTCTCCGAACTACTCAAAATTTCCGCTACCGGTTCTCCAGAACTGGTCAAAACCTGCTGAATACCACCTCTGCCATATGCCATGACAAGGAGTTAGAAGGTTGACATCATAGACTGGGACTCAGAAGTTAAGAGTGGATTCATGGATGCAGAGTCAAAAAGTTGCACCCTCAGATCAGAAACTGTGTTGTGGATACCAGAAAATAAAGTTGCTTGAGAAAATTCAAAAGTGGTAAAGAAATCTTTTCTGGAGTTACTCTAGTTCTATGTTTTGAAAAAAAGGACATTCTCACAAGCAGCTGTTTATGTAATGTGCTGTTCATTAGCGAATAAAATTTATTTAAAATGTGTTCATTTACATTTCTCACCTAGAGTGAAACTGAGCATGCCTCATGAAATCAGTTATGATTCCTTTGATTCTTCTGAAGCAATCTTTCAAAATCGAAAGTCTGTCATTAAAAGCAGTGTCTGTGCTGCAGAATAAATCAAATTAAAAAATAAATAAATTTCAGGTCTCTGCAAACACTATCAGTGTTTTGCAGAGGTAGCCCTCGACTTATGACCACAATTGACCCCCAAAATTATGTTGCTAAGTGAGATATTTGTTAAGTCAATTTTACTCCATTTTACAATTTTTCTTGCCGTAGTTATTAAGTGAATCACTGTAGATGTAAAGTTAGTAACCCAACTGTTAAGTGAATCTGGCTTCCCCACTGATTTTGCTTGTCAGAAGATTGCAAAAGGGGATTACATGACCCCAGAACACTGTAATTGTCATAAATATGAGTCAGTTGCCAAGCATCTGAATTTTGATCACATGACCATGGAGATGCTGAAATGATTGTGTGAAAAATGGATATAAGATACTCTTTTCAGTGCCATTGTAACTTTGAATGATCATTAAATGAACAGTTGTAAGTCGAGGACTATCTGTATTCTGATACACTAAGACCTCGTGCTACCACTAAACCAATATTATGGTAGTAAACTTAATTTTTGCCATGAACCTCAGTAATTATGATATGACACCACAAATCTCTGACACCTAAACTAGGATTTAGATGAGAGTTTTTCAAACTTGGCAACTTTAAGATGTGTGGAGATCAGCTCCCAGAATTCATGCTGGCTGTGAATTTTGGGGAGTTGAAATCTATAAATCTTAAAGTTGCTAAATCTGAAAAATACTGGTTTAGATTTTTCTCTGTGTCTCTTGTTTACCAAATCTTTCTTTCAAGTAACAATCGAATCGAATCGAATCGAATCGAATCGAATCGAATCGAATCGAATCGAATCGAATAGAATAGAATAGAATAGAATAGAATAGAATAGAATAGAATCCTATCTAAATCTGGCCCAATTGCAGTCTTTTGTGATTCAAATAGTTTTCCTTTTTGTATTGAACAGTCACTAAAGTGTAGAATAGAATAGAATAACAGAGTTGGAAGGGACCTTGGAGGTCTTCTAGTCCAACCCCCTGCCCAGGCAGGAAACCCTACACCACTTCAGACAAATGGTTATCTAACATCTTCTTAAAAATTTCCAATGTTGGAGCATTCACAACTTCTGCAGGCAAGTTGTTTCACTTATTAATTGTTCTAACTGTCAGGAAATTTCTCCTTAGTTCTAAATTGCTTCTCTCCTTGATTAGTTTCCACCCATTGCTTCTTGTTCTACCCTCAAGTGCTTTGAAGAATAGCTTGACTCCCTCTTCTTTGTGGCAGCCCCTGAGATATTGGAACACTGTTGTCATGTCTCCCCTAGTCCTTCTTTTCATTAAACTAGACATAACCAGTTCCTGCAACCGTTCTTCATATGTTTTAGCCTCCAGTTCCCTAATCATCTTTGTTGCTCTTCTCTGCACTCTTTCTAGAGTCTCCACATCTTTTTTACATCGTGGCGACCAAAACTGAATGCAATATTCCAAGTGTGGCCTTACCAAGGCATTATAAAGTGGTATTAACACTTCACGTGATCTGATTCTATCCCTCTGTTTATGCAGCCCAGAACTTTGTTGGCTTTTTTGGCAGCTGCTGCGCACTGCTGTACTGTGCATTTTGTTTTTCTTCCCTCAATGTAGAACCTTTCCTAAATGTAGAAACAAACCAAGACACAATCTAAAACTGCCTCAAACTCTGGATTAGACCTTCTAGTATCTTCTGGCCTCTCCTCCTCTCCTTCATGTACCAATCAGGAAACAACAGAAGTGACTTTCTTTCCTGTAGAAATTGGGAAGCACCATCTTAAGTTTCTTTTGAATTCTGAGCATTTGAGCATATTTTTTGCTCCCGGATGTACTAAGCATGACTGAGTAAAAGTGGGACATAGCTAAGAAAATGTGGACATCTAGTAACCCTGTCGATTCCAGAAGGGACGCAAAGGCCAACTTGACAAGGCAAAGAATAACTTTAGAGTCAAAGAATATGTAATACATTTCTATCTTCCCAGTATAATTTCCAAATATTGTGTTATAAAACATGTATGATTCCAACCATCTGGACACCTGGTTTGAGAAATCTACCCTAAAATTTCCTCTGAAAAGTGCCTCTTAGCATCCGATAGTAATCCTGCCTGCCAATTGGAGTTTCAGTTGAATGAGACACACTTTTGGCCCACAGAATTAAGAAAACATGTGTTCCCTCTCAGCTGCCCCTAGATTTTGCCCTTTGCAGCAATATATATATATATATATATATATGTATGTATGTATGTATGTATGTATGTATGTAAAGGTAAAGGTTCCCCTGGCACATATGTGCTAGTTGTTCCCGACTCTAGGGGGCGATGCTCATCTCCGTTTCAAAGCCGAAGAGCCAGTGCTGTCCGAAGACGTCTCCATGGTCATGTGGCCGGCATGACTCAACACCAAAGGCGCACGGAACACTGTTACCTTCCCACCAAAGGTGGTCCCTATTTTTCTACTTGCATTTTCGAACTGCTAGGTTGACAGAAGCTGGGACAAGTAACGGGAGCTCACCCCGTTACGCGGCACTAGGGATTCGAACCGCTAACTGCCGCCCTTTCGATCAAAAAGCTCAGCATCTTAGCCACTGAACCACCACATCCCTTAGGTAGGTAGGTAGGTAGGTAGGTAGGTAGGTAGGTAGATAGATAGATAGATAGATAGATAGATAGATAGATAGATAGATAGATAGATAGATAGATATAGATAATGTAGATATGGTTCACACAATCACCCTAAACTTAAATCTGGGGTCATAAAATCTAATTGCTGTTTAAACCATGTGTAATGGCCTAATAATCAGATCTTCTTCTGGCTTTAGCCTGCATTGCAACTTGTTTAGAAAACTGTTGTGGAAAACCAGCCAATGAATTCTGGCAATAGGAGATCCCAGAAATAGGGCTCAGGGGATCACAAGAATGTTTGCCATTCTTTGAAAAGGTAAGATTGCTGTTCTCTTTCTTCTTCCAGGGTGAGGTAGCAGATGAGGTGGTGAAAAGGAAATTGTGGTTGATCTTACCAATTTTCCAGGCGGGTCTGAAGTGATTCAGAGTTGCAGCACTAAGCAGACTGAAAAGGTCAGGCATCCCCAGCTCTTCTGTGATTTCACTGCACCTTCAATATCGACATCAAAACAAGAAGAGAAAGCATCCTGTAAGTGCTGAAACCTGAATTATGTTGCAAATCTCAGGTAAACCTGGGGAAAGACCAATGCTGACAGGGTTGATTTTTGTGATGTTAGCCTGCAGAAACAGCTAAGTTTTGAAAGCATGGTTTTCTGCTTCATTTCTGGATCCATTTCTATTGCTAACATCCACACAAATTCCTGCTTGAGCTGTTTGACTTTGATTTTTTTCAACAATCAATCAATTTATGGGACTTTTCATCTTAGGGTGTGGGCAGGGGTGGGTTCTACTTACCTTTACTACCGGTTTCCAACGGGACCGTGCACTTGCGCTTCTGCACATGCGCAGAAACTTCCTGATGATGTCCGGGTCGCTGGGCGGAGCCTCCCACCCAATGGTGGGATTCAGCCAGTTTGCACCACTTCGAGAGAACCGGTTGTTAACTTTCTGAGCAGTTTGGCAAACTGGTTGTTGGAAGAAATCATTAGGGCAGAGAACCGGTTGTTAAATTACTTGAATCTCACCACTGCTCCCACCGGTTTTACTACCGGTTCTTGCGAACCGATCTGAACCAGGGGCTCCCACCACTGGGTGTGGGGATAGGCTTTGAGTAGGGGCATCTACAGTTGAGGAATAGCACAGTGGTGAAATCCAATTTTTTTTACTACCAGTTCTGTGGACCTGGCTTGGTGGGTGTGGTGTGGCTTGGTGGGTGTGGCTTGGTGGGCATGGCAGGGGAAGGATACTGCAAAATCTCCATTCCCTCCCACTCCTGGGGGAAGGATATTCCAAAATCTCCATTCCCACCCCACTCTGGGGCCAACCAGAACTGGCATTTGCCGGTTCTCCGAACTACTCAAAATTTCCACTGCCAGTTCTCCAGAACCTGTCAGAACCTGCTGGATTTCACCCCTGGGATAGCATCAAAGATGTTCAAGATAGGTGCATGATCTAGACCTCAGTCCTTTTTAAATGCAGAATTCTGGACTTTCACTCTGCTTACTGTAGTCATTGAATTCTTAAGGGGCAAGGGCCACATTAGTACAATTGTAGATACTGCACCAATTGCAACCTTTCCTGTTTCACTCAGATTTAGTTGTCTATGACTTGGTTGCATTGCATTGACTACTGCAATGTGTTTTATGGGGAACTACCCTTGAAATGTATCCAGAACTTGCAATTGATGCAGAACACACAGCTAGACCATTAACCAGCAAGAAAGCACTTCCTCTCCCAAGCTTTTATCTTGATTTTTTAAAAAGCATTTTATTGAATTTACTACATTTATACATCACGACATCACCTTAAAAGAGATATGGGCAGCAATTTAATTTATAAATTTATAAATTTAAATTTAATATATACACTGCTCAAAAAAATAAAGGGACCACAAGCAGAAGACATCCGAGATCTGAATGAATGAAATAACCTTATTAAATACTTTGTTCATTACATACAGTAGTTTTGTGTTCCCTTTAGTTGTTTGAGCAGTGTTTAAACTACTGTATGTAAAGAACAAAGTATTTAATAAGGCTATTTCATTCATTCAGATCTTGGATGTCTTCTGCTTGTGTTCCCTTTATTTTTTTGAGCAGTATACATAAATGATATATTTTGTGTTTTTGTTTTAATTGCTATAACCACTAGTTTTGGCTATATGAACAGAATGGCTGGTATGTTGTATAACTCTCCTAAAAGAGGAGAGTTATACAAGCACCTCTTTGAGGGAAGCACCTCTTTGAGGGAAGACAAGAGCTTCCTTTGTAAGGTAGGCCTTTAATTGTTGACAGTTGCTTGTATTCTGGATTTATAAAACTAGAATAACCAATGTAGGGCAAATTTAACAATAAATCATAAATACATAGCTAATTGGTCCCTTTGCAGAAAAATTGGTGGAGAGGTCTTGATTGATGAGAAGATTCTCTCAATTACTCATTCCACAAACTCAGTCAAGCCTTTTACAAAGCTGTTGGTTCATAGCTCTAATCTTTTTTTTTTTTAATTTTCTGCTAGCAATTGAGAAAAAATATACAGGCACCATGAACCCTTCTCAGGAAATAATGGGGCCTTTGGGTCCACTGTCCATTTGCTACAAAAATGCCACAAGCAAGGCTTTACGTCGGAAACGAGAATTCATCCCAGAAGAAAAAAAAGACACCATCTACTGGGAGAAGAGGCAAAAGAACAACGAGTCTGCCAAGCGTTCCCGGGAAAAGAGGAGGTTCAGCTATTTTGCAATTGAGAGCCAGATGGCTGCACTCCAGGAGGAGAATTTTCACCTCCGCTGGGAGCTCCAAGACTTAAAAGCCCGTTGTGGTCTCCTTAATCATAATCCAGAACCACAAAATGCCAGTGTTAATTCTCTGCTCTGCACACAAGGTAACTGCTGGTCTAGGGCCCAATGCACCGTTCCTCCAGCAGAAAGGTTGATGGATTACATGTGGATCCCAAGAGAACATCTTGATTCCAGCCCAAAGCATACGTCCTTCTTCAAGCAATACAACATGGTTCTTTCACAAGGAAAGAATAACCCTGCTTTTTCCAATTCTGCCTTCCTCCCTACTTACTTCAACTGCCAATTTATACAGAGATATTCCCACCATTTCCCAATATATGACAGATCTCACTTTCCAGTCAAGTTGCCAAATACAGGTGAGGTAGGGAAGGAAAATCCTCAAAACGATGGCAGTGAGAAGGAAACAAGGTCAGATGTTTCAGTATATCCAATGATGGCCCCAAATTATTCTGCTCTGCCTCATAAGCTTAGGATTAAAACAAAAAAACATCAATTTCTGTGATAAGAATGTCAGTAGGCATATTTCAGCTGAAAATAATAAACCAAAAGGAGAAATATTTCGGTTGAGATCAAACTGGACTTCTCACACTTTCATAATCTAGGAAGAATTTTGTTTTTGGCTTCATGGAACTGGAATACTGGGTCTCAAAGTATTGTGGTCAGGAGAATTGATGTATGTCAGTTGGAGCTGTGTATTTTTTCTATCTCTTTTGAGTTTTTATTTCTGAATTGTGGGGGGTTATAAAATGGAATAAAATCTTTAACCCTATACAGTTGTACATTGGATCTCCAATGTATTTTTCTGTTTGTGCTAACTTTTACCTTCAGTGCCTCAGATGCAGGAGCAAAAAATTTCAGGCTTATGATACAAGTTTTTAGACCTAAATTAGAAATTTCAATGTGTGAAACTCAATTCGAATTCACACTCTGGTTGCAACCTTAAGTTTAAGTCACAGCTTGTAAAACAAAGGTGGGAGTCCTAAGGCTGAACAACACAAGCAGTTTGTCCCAGGTTAAACACAACCACCTAAGCATGTGTTGAGAACTGGAATACATAAGATCATCCTCTAGCCCCCCCTCCCCCCATCTTATCAGGAAGGGAATCAATCGATCCTTGTATCCATTAAAATACTGTCCATTTTCTGGTTTGTGCTAGCTCAAGCAGCGCTGTCCATTTCCCCTGTGCACTTCATTTCATTGTGTAAAGGTAAAAGTTCCCCTTGCACATATGTGCTAATCATTCCCGACTCTAGGGGGCGGTGCTCATCTCTGTTTCAAAGCCGAAGAGCCAGCACTGTCCGAAGACGTCTCCGTGGTCATGTGGCCGGCATGACTAAATGCCAAAGTCGCACAGAATGCTGTTACCTTCCCACCAAAGGTGGCCCCTATTTTTCTACTTGCATTTTTTACGTGCTTTCGAACTGCTAGGTTGGCAGAAGCTGGGACAAGTAATGGGAGCTCACCCCGTTACGCGGCACTAGGGATTCTAACCGCTGAACTGCTGACCTTTCGATCGACAAGCTCAGCGACTTAGCAAGCAGTGCTGTCCATTTTCCCTGTGCATTTCATTTCATTGTACTATAAGCAAATACAGGCAGTTCTCAACTTATGACAGTTCATTTAATGACCATCTGAAGCTACAACAGCACTGAAAAAGGGACTTATTACCATTTTTCACACTTAACAACTGTTGCAGCATTGCCATAGTCACAAACGATGAAAATTAGGATACTTAGTATCTGTCTCATATTTATGACGGTTGCAGTGTCCTGGGATCATGTGATCACCTTCTGCAAAATTCTGACAAGCAAAGTCCATGGGGGAAGCCCGATTCACTTAACAACTGTGTTATAAACTTAACAATTGCAGTGATTCAGTTAACAAGTGAGGCAAGAAAAGTCATAAAATGGGGCAAAACTCACTCAACAGCTGCCTTGTTTAACAGCAGAAACTTTATGCTCAGTACTTGTAGCCATAAATTGAGGACTACTTGTACTTTAACAGTAACAGAGTTGGAAGGGATCTTGGAGGTCATCTAGTCCAACCCCCTGCTCATGCAGGAGACCTGTACTAGGGATTCGAACCACCAAACTGCCGACCTTTCTGATTGATAAGCTCAGTGTTTTAGCCGCTGAGCCACCTAGCCAGGCAGGTGGCACAGTGGTTAGAGTGCAGTACTGCAGGCTACTTCTGCTGACTGCCGGCTGCCTGCAATTTGGCAGATCGAATCTCACCAGGCTCAAGAGGTTGACTCAGCCTTCCATCCTTCTGAGGTGGGTAAAATGAGGACCCAGATTGTTGGGGGCAAGAGGCGGACCCTGTAAACCACTTAGAGAGGGCTGTAAAAGCACTGTGAAGCGGTATATAAGTCTAAGTGCTAATACTATTGCTATTGTAGTGGCCAAAGTAAAGAAAGACTCTGAAACCTGTAAAGGAACTTCTTATATTGGTTTTATTCCAAGCCAGTTTATGCAAGGAAGTTAAGCAGACTTAGTTCCTGGCATAGGTGTTTGAACTCTATTTCATAAGATTAGCCTACTTTCATGATAGCTTTCGCTTTTCTTACTTCAATAGACATGAGATCTCTGGTTTGCTTTCTTTCATCTGATCAATTTGTGATGTTAACCATTAAGTCCTATTCCAAGTTTCCATCTCCTGTTTACCGCAGTCATAAGCAATGGTT